CAGGGGAGGAGTTCGTAAAGATCGCAGGGGGTGAGTGTACCCCAAACAGGGCCTGACTCCCCTGGTTCTTGACCCATATCCCACTTCACCACAACCCCTTGCCTGCCTGTTCCCTTGCATGGGTGAGTGTCTGGAGGAGCATGGGTGAAGTCAGCAGGTGACTCCCATGTCCCCCACACAGGCACATCACTAGAGGTGGCTCGTTTCTTGTCACGGGAAGACCAAGTGATCCTGCGGCTGCGGGGACTGCCCTTCTCGGCTGGGCCAACGGACGTGCTAGGCTTCCTGGGGCCAGAGTGCCCAGTGACTGGGGGTGCTGAAGGGCTGCTCTTTGTGCGCCACCCTGACGGCCGGCCGACTGGTGATGCCTTTGCCCTCTTTGCTTGTGAGGAGCTGGCACAGGCTGCACTGCGCAGGCACAAGGGCATGCTGGGTAAGCGATACATCGAACTCTTCCGGAGCACTGCAGCGGAGGTGCAGCAGGTGAGCACCTAGGGCTCCCCACCCAGATGTACTGTTACTCCAGGGTGGGCCTCTGTGCCCCTGCCCTACTTGGCATGACCAGCCTGTTGTTGCTTTCCTTACTAGGTCCTGAACCGCTATGCATCCGGCCCACTCCTTCCCACACTGACTGCCCCACTGCTGCCCATCCCCTTCACACTGGCAGCTGGGACCGGGAGGGATTGTGTACGCCTCCGAGGCCTGCCCTACACAGCCACTATTGAAGACATCCTGAGTTTTCTTGGGGAGGCAGCAGCTGACATCCGGCCCCACGGTGTGCATATGGTGCTCAACCAGCAAGTAAGGCCACTGCTTGTTAAGCAGTGGGGGAAGCATAAATAGGAAGGAATGTGTGTGTTAGCGGTAAGGCACTCTTACACATAACCAACTGCTCACAAGATGGTGTGCACAGGGCCGGCCATCAGGTGATGCCTTCATCCAGATGACATCAGCAGAGCGAGCCCTAGCTGCTGCTCAGCGTTGCCATAAGAAGGTGATGAAGGAGCGCTACGTGGAGGTGGTCCCCTGTTCCACAGAGGAGATGAGCCGTGTGCTGATGGGGGGCACCTTGGGCCGCAGTGGCATGTCCCCTCCGCCCTGCAAGCTGCCCTGTGAGTGCCCCAGGGGCTGGGGAAGGAGGCCTGTGGGATCCAGGTTGTTGTAGGCCCCTACCTTCTTTAGCGGGGACTCCTTTCTAGCTGCCCCAGATATTGTGGGGCAGGCAGGTCCACAGCAGGCTTGCTTTCTTTTTTAAAATGGAAGCTCTTGTACCTTCAATGTTTGACTCCTGGAAGAATGAAGGGTCCATCTGAGCTTCTGAGTAAAGATCCTAATGTTCTACCTCCCTCTGTCCCTCTCATGGGGAATAGAGGCAGAGAGCGCCAGCCCGAGGGTACTGCTGGGCTCCGTGCACAGGCACTTTCTACTTCTGTCTCTAGGCCTCTCACCGCCTACCTACGCCACCTTCCAAGCCACCCCAACCCTCATTCCCACGGAGACAGCAGCTCTATACCCGTCTTCAGCACTGCTCCCGGCTGCCAGGGTGCCTGCTGCCCCCACCCCTGTTACCTACTACCCAGGGCCAGCCACTCAACTCTACCTGAACTACACAGCCTACTACCCAAGGTACCCTACAGCTAAGAGAATGCCACAGTCCCGCTCCCTGTCCCAATCTGGGGAAGGGTCACAATCCCCTTTCTGGGCCAGGTAACTTGAGATCACGAGAGTAAGGTAGGAGCTGGCTGATGCCATCTATAAAATAGATCAAAGATGACTCTGCTCTGTTTTGTAGATGCCATCAGCCAGCTCCTGGGGCTTCAGGGAGGAGGAACTGAACTAAGCACAAGGCAGAAGCAAGGGAGGAGGGAAACAGGTCTCAGACTAGCCCACAGATGGCATGCATGACTAAACCTTGGCTCTCTTACCCTTAGCCCTCCAGTCTCCCCCACCACTGTGGGCTACCTCACCACACCCACTGCTGCCCTGGCCTCTGCTCCCACCTCAGTGTTATCCCAGCCAGGAGCCTTGGTCCGCATGCCGGGTGTCCCATACACAGCTGGTATGAAGGATCTGCTCAGTGTCTTCCAGGCCTACCAGGTGAGACTGTGTGGCTGCAGGGCCTGGCGGGTCTAGCCGAGCTCTCTGCCCTAAATCTGTGTCCCTTCTGTAGCTAGCCCCCGATGACTACACCAGTCTCATGCCTGTTGGTGACCCACCTCGCACTGTGTTACAAGCCCCCAAGGAATGGGTGTGTTTGTAGAAGAGGAAGCCAGGAGGTAAGAGCCAACTGATATCCTCAGCAAACATGTCTCTCCTGCGTCCAGAAGACCAGCGCCCTCAAGCCGGTAGCTTCTTTCTAGCTTGTCACAGCTCTCGGAAGGTACCTAGAGAAGTCCAAGCCCCAGCTCCATCCTTCACTTATTCTTCTGCCTGTTTACCCCAAAGACAATGGCTGGACCGTGCATGCAGGGCTGGGGGTGGAATGGGGTAACCAGCTCCTGATGGCCCGAGCCAGGCATCTTGACTGGCACTTGGAGAGCCCTTTGGTCTGTCCTGGCTGTGGCCCATGCCAACAGATATCGTGGGGCTGACAGGTCCACGGCAGGCTTGCTTGCTTTTTTAAAATGGAAGCTCTGGTACCTTCAAGTATGGCTCTTGGGAGAATGAAGGGTCTATCTGAGCCTCTGAGTAAAGATCCCAATGTTCTACCTCCCCCTGTCCCTCTCATGGGGGATAGGGAGGCAGAGAGAGCCAGCCCCTACACTCGGGATATTTGGAACTCAGAGACCATGTTGTGCCACGGGTGGTCCCACCTAAAGATGCTAGCCCCTCTCTGGGTGAGCCTAAGGAGTAACAGATGGCAAAACCACAAACTATTCTGATGGACTGTACTGCAGTATCCCCAGAAGACATTAGGGGGCAGGAGGCCCCCACACAAAAACTCAGGCTTGATTTTTTTTTTTTTTTTAAAGGGGACTTTTTGTCAAATTTTCTTGTATGTTTTGGGAAAGCCAGTTGCCTTGAACCCAGCAGACACCGTGGAATGTCCTTTGCATGCATTAAGTGGTACAGAACTAAAGTCTCAGAAGCAATTTGGAACTCTGTCTTCTCCTCCATAAAATGAAAAGTTACTGATCAAATGGACTTTTTAAAAGCCATAGGACCCTTCGCATTGCCCCCAGAGTGAGGGGCTCCACACCAGCCCCAGGCGGAGGAACACTCAGACAGATTTAAGAAGACTGTTGGCCTGTCACCATTTATTATTTCAGCACTAAAACTGAGGAGCCTGAACTGCTGGCTCTTCTTCCCTTTGTATTTGTGTAAGGAGCACTGTACTCCCATAAAAGGTTTTAAAATACAAAATGTACAAGAACACACAATTCCAAGTGCTGTAAACATAACTGAGAACCAGTTCCTTTACTAAACATCCATTTTATAAAATACAAAGTTTCAAATTGAGCCCATCTGAGCCTTAAAGATCCATTCTAAATATCAAAAACAGAGCTTCACAGCCAGTTCCAAAAGAGGTCTGTTGATAACAGCTGGCCCTGGGTGGGGGTAGTTTACCCCCCGGGGCAGCAGCACCACACATGAACCCGAAGACATGTTCCTTTTAAAGCTGTTTGCAGCCATGTTTCTCTGTGCATCTCCAGTAAGCAGAAGGCTACTCATTCCATTCCTCAACCCGAGAGCTAGCACAGATTAGAGTAGGAAAGGGTGCGTGCTAGCACGTGCCCAGTTGCTCAGTGCTGCTATTAGAAATTGATTTGCATAGTCTAATGGATGTGTGCTTTAAAACCACTATGTTGCACAAAAATTTAAGTCTTTATCTACAAAGCCAAAAAATACTGACTCTTACACCAAAGCTTTTACAAAGCTGATATAAAACTGCTTACATAGTATACAAAGCTCTATTTTAAAATTTAACGTTTATTTTAAATAGGAAAGCATTTCTAGTGCTACAGGCATCAAGGTATTTAGAAGGCATCAAAATTTGGTGCATAGCAACTCTGGATCATAGAAGCTTTTAATTCTTGAGGGCAGCAAAGCTTCCCCAAAGGGTATTTCAAGGGAAGCTCTTGCAATAACCCTATATGAGGCAGCTACACCAGGGGCAAAAGGGTAGAGGCAACTCTGGCCATTTCTGTGGAACGTCACCCAAGGGGCCAACTTCCTGCCCCTCCAAAAGAAGCTGTGGGCTTCCAACCACAGACCCAGAAGTAAATCTCACTATTGACATTCTGTGACACAACTCACTTTTCAAGAAAATTTGAAAATACCCAGCTCCAAGAGGGGCCACAGTGATCTGCTGAAGAATAGACCTTTTTCTCTAACTAGTTTTAGGGGAGAATCTAAAATATATTTTGTTTTTTAAAAGACCATACTTCCTCATCCTGAGTCAACAGCTCCTAACCTACTGACAACAGGTGGTGGGCAATAGGCCAGCTCCCTTCCCCAGGCCTGAACTGGCCTCAGTAGAGAGTCCTGGCATCAAGGGCCTGCAGTCTCCTGGAGTAACAGCATCAGGCCTTCAACCAGCATACTGTCTGACATATAGGCACTCAAAAAATCTGCTTCCTGGGCCAGGTGCAGTGGCTCACACCTGTAATCCCAGCACTTTGGGAGACCAAGGCGGGTGGATAACCTGAGGTCAGGAGTTCGAGACCAGCCTGGCCAATATGGTGAAACCCCGTCTCTACTAAAAATACAAAATTAGCCAGGCATGGTGGCATGCCCTTTTAGGCCCAGCTACTAGAAAGCCTGAGGCAGAAGAATTGCTTGAGGCCGGGGCAGAGGTTGCAGTGAACTGAGATTGTGCCACTGCACTCCAGCCTGAGCAACACAGTGGGACTCTGTTTAAAAAAAAAAAAAAAAAAAATCTGCTTCCTGAATCAATGGAAGTATATAATTTCATGTGAAAACATACTGCAAACTTCAGAGCTCTGTAATAGGCCTAGGAAGTGGTAAAAGATCCCATTGGGGAGAGGGATAAGGGCAGGTTTTTTGTTTTTTTAAGTACCCAACTTGGGCACCTCCTTTGGTAGATAGTAGGCTGGAGTTTCTGCTGGGCCCTGCCTTGGACACCAGTCTCACCAGCAGCAGCACCAGGATGTCTTTGGTGTGGAGGGTCAGGCTATCACTTTTGGATGTGCTCAGAGCCTTCTGGGGAAAAGGCTGGTTTTAAGATCATACAGACAGGACAGGGTAGGCCAGAATCATTTCAGGCTATAAACAGAATGGCAGATAAGCCTTCCATACCAGTGTGACTCTTAAAACCTTCCCATCTGGAATCCTGCATTTTCTCTGCCCATGCTGATGTACTGCTCATTTGTGCTTTAGCCCTGCACACAATATGACCTCTAGAGAAGAGTTAAAAATGCAAACCTGCTTAAACCACTGGGAGACTGGCTTCAAAGGTCACAGAACAGCCAAAGGCTCCTGTTTGGAAAAGGTTCTAGGACCAGAGGACGCAAATAGGAAAAGCACTCCACAGCCTAGTAGTTTTTATGATGGCAAGAAATGAAAGTGACCAAGCTAAAACCCCACCATTCAGAGTCACCTTACATGTAGCCATCTTACCGAGGGTCCTGAGGGAAAAAGCAGTATCAACATGGAGCCAGTATGGAGAAACTGCAATAAGATTACCTAGAAAGTTACCAAAAGGCTATGCTCTGGAATGTCTTTTTATATTCCAACACTTCAATGATGGAATGGTCTCTTCTCATTTTATCTAACAACAGTTTAGTTTTATAAAGAGGTATGAGCTATATTTGGCTTTGTTTCCTATAAATCTATGAAAGTCTTTAGGACACATACTGACTTTCTGAGGCATAGGTGTAGGCTTGGGATAATGTTTTCTTTTTTTTTTTTTTTTTTTTTTTTTTTTTTTTTGCTTCTGGAAGGTCTTATCAAAAGTTCCCATTTTAAAAATTATCATAAAAACTAAAGGGCCCTTCAAATGATGATAAAGTGGTACATATCACCAATGCTAGCTAAGTAACCAGGTCACCTGCAAAAGCAGCACCTCAGAAATAAAGAGCCTGCTGCATTCACACTCAAAGCACCCATCATATAAAAGTATCCTAGTTAAATATAAAAAGCAAAGCTCATTTCCCCAAAGCTCAAACAGCCTATGCTGCTCCTGTTCTTTTACAAAATCTACCCAAGGCCTGAGGTGGAGGAATGCTGCTTTCCCCACAAATGGTGAGTCCCACTCCTGGTGCCAGAACTGAAGGCTGCAGAGTTGGAAACCCAAGGTCCAAGGAGAGAAACATGCTGAGAAGTTGGTGGTGGACACAAGGCTGCAGTGAGCACTGTTAGAGCCCGTCAGATCTTCCTAAATCCAGGGACTCAGGACTCGGGAGAGGAGCCTGCCTGCTTACTCCTGCTCCTTGGGAAACAGAAATCTGGGACATATCTCTCCCAATTATCTCGTTCACTGAAAAACAAGAAAAGGAAGAGTGATTAGTGACCTATGAATGACTAGCCATATGATGCCCAATGCTGAGCTCTGCCTCGGATATTTCCCTTCCCCTGGCTTTCTGTAAAGACAAAGGCAGTGTCTGAAGCCTGCTCCTGAGCGGCATTAGAGATGGAAACATCACTCCACAAACTGCTCCGGACCTCTTTTTCTCTCCCTCTCATTCAGTTCATTTTGGGTTAGGAAGGCGGCTTACCTTCACTCTAAAGGTACTTTTAAATAACTACTCACCTTACTCTAACTTTAATTGGTATCTCTTTGGGAAAGTTTTTATTTTCTGCAATGCTACCTCCTATGTAAACCAAATGAAAATAAATGCTTTGGTTAGAATAAACTACTGTGATGTGGGGGCGATTTTGCTACTCTGTCCTAATACAACCATACAACCAGTCTTTATTATGTGGGGGCATTTCTATTGTTTGTGATCTTTTCTGATTTCAGGCTCTTGCTTTTCTGTTAATTTCTCTGATGTGCCAAGCACCTCAGGGAGGCACAGTACTCTGTGAGGTCCAGAGCAAAGAATTTTCATCTTACAGAACTAACATAGAAGGAAACATCCCAAGTTCCCCAAATAAGAACCTTTAGTTCTCACATCATTTCATTCCTTGCCTTATCAACTAAAGGGTCTGCACTAATTCCTCTCCCAGGCATATATACAAGAGAAGTGAAAACATATGTCCACATTAAAAACTTTCAAATGTTCACAGCAGCATTATTAATAATAGCCAAAGCCGGGCGCGGTGGCTCAAGCCTGTAATCCCAGCACTTTGGGAGGCCGAGGCGGGTGGATCACGAGGTCAAGAGATCGAGACCATCCTGGTCAATATGGTGAAACCCCGTCTCTACTAAAAATACAAAAAATTAGCTGGGCATGGTGGCACGTGCCTGTAATCCCAGCTACTCAGGAGGCTGAGGCAGGAGAATTGCCTGAACCCAGGAGACGGAGGTTGCGGTGAGCCGAGATCGCGCCATTGCACTCCAGCCAGGGTAACAAGAGCGAAACTCCGTCTCAAAAAAAAAAAAAAAAAATAATAATAATAATAATAATAATAATAATAGCCAAAAAGTGGAAACAACCCAAATGTCTACCAAGTGATGAATGGATAAATGGTAAGTTGTCTTTATCCATAAAATGGAATATTCGGCCTTGAAATGTAATGAAATTTTGATATGTGCTATAACATGGATGAGCTGTGAAAACAATCTGCTGAGTGAAAGAGGCCAGACACGAAAGGTCATATATGATTCCATTTATATGAAATGTCCAGAACAGGCCAATTCACAGAGATAGAAAATAGATTACAGGTTGTAGAGAGGGAGAAATAGGGAGTGATTACTAATGGATATGGAGTTTATTTTCAGAATAATGAAAATGGAGTTCTAAAATTAGATACTAATAGCCATGCACAGTGGCTCACACCTGTCATCCTAGCACTTTGGGAGGCCGAGGTGGGCAGATCACTTGAGGTCAGGAGTTCAAAACCAGCTTGACCAACATGAAGAAACCCTGTCTCTACTAAAAATACAAAATTAGCCAGGCGTGATGACGCATGCCTGTAATCCCAGCTACTTGGGAGGCTGAGGCACAAGAATCGCCCAGGAGGCAGAGGTTGCAGTGAGCCAAGATCACACCATTGCACTCCAGCCTGGGCAACAAGAGCAAAACGACATCTCAAAAAAAAAAAAAGGAAAAAGAAAAATTAGATACTAGTGATAGTTGCAAAATTGGGACTATACTAAAAACAACTGAGTTGTATACTTTGAAGGATAGATTTTATGGTATGTGAATTATATCTCGTTACAGCTGTTATAAGCAAAAATAGACCAAAACAGTTTTTTATACTTAGAATTTGATGTGATCATAGAGCAAAGGAACACAAACATTTAAAAAATCTTCCAAGTATTAACATCTAATCTTTTTCTAGCTTACATGATTAAGAAAAAGTAGTTTTCAAATTCATATGGCTATAAGGAGAAAGGTATTAATATTTACTAATTTAGTTGCTTGAACCCAGGAGGTAGAGGTTGCAATAAGCCAAGATCGCACCACTGCACTCCAAACTGAAAGTGGGCAACAGAGGGAGGTTCCGTCTCAAAAAAAAAAAAAATATATATATATATATATATGTATATTTATATGAGTACTGATCATAGTATTGAATGTAGAATAGTAAAGAAGTAGGGACTAGAGACAGAGCATGTCCTCTCTGTTCACCACAGTACCACTACTTTTTGGTGCCTTATACCTAAAACTACCTTCCTTCACTCTCCCTGTAGGCATAAGAGAGTTTGCCCTGCACACATCTTCTGAGGCAAAGAGCCATCACCCTGGGTAATTCACATCACTCTCTGCCACAGCCTTCAGGATATCTGGACACCCCCCTCAGAATGTCTGTCAGTCTCCTCCCTCCCTTCTTTCCCCCACCTTCCTTTCATCAAACAAGTAGGTACCCGAATCTAAAGAAGATACTTGCTTTATCCCTTAAGGAACTGGTGGGTGAAACTGACATGGAAACCATATGCTATGTGGTATGGTTAAGGTATATGCAGTGTTAAAGCAACTAAATATGGCCTGAGAAGGACTCTATTTTCATATTGAGTCCTTGTGGATGCACTGTCACTTAGCTTAGTAGAGAAAATTGAAAACCTTAGTAATATGCACCTGTATCATACTACTAAACTGAGTGTCGGCCAGTCCCAGCAGCCATAGTTCAACCACTCAGACTGCTAAGTGTTCAAACTGTGTTCAAATGAGGGAAACGCGGAGCTGGAACCAATCTCACTGTTTCTGTACCTCACTTCTAATTTCTGTACATCACTTTAACTTTTTTGTCTATAAATTTGTTCTGAGCATGAGGCACCCCTGGATTCTCTGTGAATCTGCTGTGATTCTGGGGGCTGCTCGATTCGTGAATCATTCATTGCTCAATTAAACTCTTTAAATTAAAAAAAAAAAAAGTATGGACTAGAAGCCAAATACATACACACATATATATTAATTTCACAAATATTTACTGAGCATTTATAGTTTAGGCTTTACAACTGAAATTAAATCTTATTTCAATTAATCTTCACAATACTTTATTATTTTACTTTACAGATGAATTAACTGAGGCTCTGACAGGTCACATAATTGGTCTGAAGGTTACATGCTTAGTAAATAGTGGAATCAGCCTCAAAATACTGTAAGTCACGTTCTTAGAAGCCAAAATGTAGATGCAAGGAAATGACTGAGATAAAGAAAATGCAAAGGAGCTGGGCAAAATGTGGTGATACTAGTGGGAGGGAGAGCAAGTGTGATGATAAGGAGGAGAGAGAAAAGAAGTGGTGATTTACCACCACCAAGGTTTTGAGACTAGAAGAGAAAACAATGATGTAATCACAACAGGAAACAAGTTCAGAAGAAGGTGGTAGGTTCGGTCTGGAACTGGAAATTAGAAACCCCAACTGGAAAAATCAGTGGGCATGGTGGGGCTACAATGAATGTTCAGAACAAGAAGATATTTAGGCATATTCATACTCACTAGAGACCTGGAAGCATGGGGGAAGTTTTGCACAGAAGAAGTTATTCCACTGAAGAGTAGAGGCTGAAAACAGTAAGTGGGAGTAGCATTGTGCTCTGATGAGAAGATAGCACCTGGGTAGGCAAATATGTGAGTAGAAGAGGGGCCTAAAAATTAGGTTTGGTTGGAATTCAGGCTCTGCCACTAACTTTATGTTGTGTCATTGGACAAAGTATTTCATATATCTAAAATTCCCTTTATTTATACTGTGACAGTGTTGGATTAGTATGATGTCTTTTAGCTGTACTAGTCTATGGTTTTATGGCAGCAGACAATTTTCAAGTGGCAGTACTCAAAGGTATACAAAGAAATAAAGGATGAAGATTTGGCTTGGCAGTGGTCAGTACTGAACGCAGAATAATAAGGAGGGACTAGAAGCCAAAGGACTCTACAAAACAGTGAAGATTGATTAATCAATGCTGGCAAGCTAATAATCACTAAGTGATAAGCAATTTTTTAAGGTACAGATTAATAAAGTACTTTGTCAGATGGTTTTTGTTTTTTTTGAGATGAAGTCTTGCTCTGTCACCCAGGCTAGAGTGCAGTGGTGCAATATCGGCTCACTACAACGTCCGCCTCCCAGGTTCAAGTGATTCTCCTGCTTCAGCCTCCCGAGTAGCTGGGATTACAGGCCCCTGCCACCGTGCCCAGCTAATTTTTGTATTTTTAGTAGAGACAGGGTTTCATCATCTTGGCCAGGCTGGTCTCGAACTCCTGACCTTGTGATCCACCCACCTTGGCCTCCCAAAGTGCTGGGATTACAGGTGTCAGCCACCATGCCTGGCCTTTTATATTTTTTTTGAGACAGGGTCTCACTCTGTTACCCATACTGGAGTTCAGTGGTGCAATCACAGCTCATACTCAAACTCCTGGGCTCAAGCCATCCTCCCACCTCACCCTCCCAAGTATTCGGTTGGTGCAAAAGTAATTGTGGTTTTGGTATTACTTCTATTGTAAAGAACCGTGATTACTTCTGCACCAACTTAACAGCTGGGACTACAGGCACATACCACCACACCTGGCTGATTTTTAATTTTTTTTGGTAGAGATAGGGTCTTGCTATCTTGCCAAAGCTGATCTCTAACTCCTGGCCTCAAGCAATCCTCCCACAGTGCTGGGATTACAGATGTCAGCCATTGTGCCTGACCTGATTATATTTAAGTAAATTTGCCAGGCTAGGATTTATTGACCATTCATAATGGATGTTGCAAATAATAATGGAATATAAACTAAATCCTGACTCTAAAAATAACTCACTGGAATAGTTTCTTTGTAAATGAAAAGTCATGAGGATGCTTTGCATAAGAATATATTTTTCTCTTCAGTTTCCTCATCAGTATAATGGAGAGGAAAAATACTTCTTATATAGTACATATAGAGAGGGAATATAAAGGG